TAAAATAAGATTAAAATCTGGATAGGAATGTTTCGGTCCATCAAGCCGCATACATTCCCGTTCGGTGCTGCGGCTGAACCACGTCAGCGTGACGGTTGCAACGAAAGTAGCATGCAGTGTGCTAAAAAATGAAAAAGGAAAGTTAAAAAGGTTAAAGTAAAAGTTGAAAATGGATTTTATAAGACATTACCTCCACCATTTACGTATGTCAAATTGACAGATGTACCTGTAAAGTCAATAAAATAAAAATGGAAATAATAAATCTAAGGCATATCATCAAAAAGATTTCGATACTATCAGAACAGAACGAACTGTATCAACATTCCTTTTGAAGCACCGTGTTAACTTGCCTCTTCAAATTCCTTTCCCCTGATGATACGGCAATTATTGTTTTAATTGAACAAATAGCCAACTAATGATCCGTAGACAGTACTCGCTAGTACACCAGTTTAATGAGTTTAGTATTGCCAATAGACATAATTTCTAGCAAATAATGGAACCAGTAATGAAGAAAAGCAAAACTGAGAATTATATTATTCACGTAAGAATGTATATATTATTCTTTTCTTATACTATTAACTGATTCGCCAACCAATTTTTTTTCTCTTTGTTCCTTTTCCTTTCTTTTATTCTCCTTCTATATTTCTAGCAATCCAATATATCATTTATTATGTCATGCTTATTTAAATCTGCTTCTTGTCTGCATGGCAAGTTGGAAGCCATACAGACGATCCTCACATTTATTTTCGTGCGATGCTCTGTATGTGTTTACAGCTAAGGGATGAAACGCTGACTGCAAACTTATCTGATCTGTTTGAACATACAATTTTCAAACAACCTCACTCGATATTTCTTTGGCTTTTTTTCCTCATAGATTTGGATGGCTTTTTCCTCATCGGCATCCGTGATTTTGCTTGCAGGTCCAGTAAGCTTCTTAGTCCGCTACAGAATTACCAACCGTGCGGACGGAACGGCGCAAGTAGATTGGAAGTATGCGCGAGTTTCAGGAGTGTTTGAGGCGCAACTCGATTTGGAAGAAGTGAGAAATGGCGATGAATTGCAGGTGCAGGTAGCGTTACCTGATTTGTAAAGACGTGTTGAGGAGGGGAAGCGGAAAGACTGCGCCATCGAATGCATACCTCACGCTTATTTTCACAAGAATACGGTCTCAGAAATCATTACTTCTTCAGGAATCTTTGTGGATGGGGTGCTACTTTGTAAGAGGATCTAGGATCTTCTTGCAATTTTTGTACCTCATGTTCTGCAAATCAGAAAAAAATTGGCATTAGAAAAATGAGTCAGAAATTTTTTCATCCGAATTTCCAAGACGGAAAAGTAATGAGTCTAAATTTTTGATGAGTCGGGAGTTTTTTCCCCATTCTGTTGCAACGTGACGAATTGCACACTTTGGTTTTCCATCAAGAATGAAAAATTGCAAATCTGTCAGTGAGGTCTGGATTCTAATCCAGCAAAAACACATCATTTAGTAAAATTTAACGAAAATTTGAAATCTAACAAAAAAAGAGATTGATGAACTGCCGTAGACAAGTGTGTCGGAGCGACAAATTATTAATTTTTTTCGCTGACAAAAGTTGTATTTGCCAGAAAGCAGAAATATCTTTATTTTGGTTCTAAACTGCGGGAATCGCTAGTGGTCGTTGCTGTTTACAAAGCGCACCAATTCGAATCACTTTCGAACGCCTCTCGTTTTTTACAGTGAAAAGAAGGCTTCTGAGCACTGAAATCTTATATGGGTCATGGCTGCTTTATGAATTAGTTTGCCGGTGGTCCAGTTTCAGGTTCAAGCTGAGTATCCCGGAGGTGCAGTTAGCGAGGAATGGTCACAATCACTGTTAATCGCGATTTCGAAACGTGTTCTTATCGATGGCGTTCCCGTGGATGACGATGATTTGCTGCCACCACTGGATTTCGAAGCACACATATTGAGCACTCAAATGGTACGTCTGGAATGGACACCACCAGCTGGAGCACTTTCAGATGGTCAGTTAGCCCAGTTGGCAAGATGTCATCACTGTTTCCGAAATCGAATTCAAGACATGTTGATTTCCAATATTCCTAGTGCGATGAACTTCATGAGCCGTACTGGAAAACAACTTGAAGAGCAGGACAACTGGCTTTCCTTTCTTCCTCACCGATTTTGAATAATTTAAAAAAAGTCATTTTATTGCAGTTAGTACCAAAGTCATGTTTTCTTGCGGCATAGATTCATTGTAGATTATTCGTTATAATTTATTTTCCCATTTTATAAATGGCTTTTTATGCTGGT